CCTGACAGACAAACTCTTATGTGGTCCGCAACATGGCCCAAAGAAGTAAGGAAACTTGCCTCTGACTTCTTAAGGACTTTCGTACAGATTAACATTGGATCTCTTCAACTATCAGCCAATCACAACATTCTGCAAATCGTCGATGTTTGTCAAGAACATGAAAAAGAAACTAAGTAAGTATATTTTATACAAGGTATCCCTAAAATGCCTGTACAAAAAAATACCACTTATTCCGAGATCAAGATAATGCCTTAAAACTAAATTTATTTTTATACAAAAGTTTATAATAACCAAGTTCGTTTTCGATTTTATTAAATAACTTTAAAAAAATACTTTTAGTACAAAATTTTATTTTTAGGTTTTTTTCAGCCCGGGAAAATTTAATTTCGTTTATAATGGCGACTTTTTTGCGCTTATAATATTCATGTTTTTAATGAAAATATATTTTTTATCTTTATTACATCATTACATCTTTAAATATTGCTGCGAGTAACGGTTTTCGAGATATTTGCATTTAAATTGTGATTTGATTTGCTACAAATTTAGTTACTGCAACTTTTATTTTTTGAAATATTTTTTTTGAAATATCTTGAAAACGGTTTCTTAGAGCGATATTTACAAGGTGTACCTTTAATTATGCAAATGAAGATGAAAAAAGTAATATTTTTAGTAGGACTTAAATACACTAAGGCGGATACAGATTTAAAGGAATGCAAAGCATCGCAGACAGCGCCTTCTGCAACTTACATTGATTTTTATAAGAAATTTAATTTTCCTATCCTGAAAAACCACTGAATATTAAATTTTGTCCAAAAACTTTTGTTTTTTTCCAAAGTTTTTTGATAAAATCAAATTTTTATTTCGCGTTATTTTATTTTTATTTATGTATTTATTAAAATTTCAAATGATGAGCCAGACTTATGAAAGAACTGTGATTATTTTTTATCGCACCCTAATCCTCTAAGAAGAACTGATAAAAATAAATGTTAATTATGTACCTATATAAAATGTTTAAACATTTTCTAAAATATTGTGCTTCTTTTTAGATTAAACCAACTTTTGCAAGAAATAGGTAATAATGGTGAACCAGGTGCAAAAGTTATCATTTTTGTTGAAACAAAGAAAAAAGTGGAAAACATCACAAGGAACATAAGAAGATTTGGATGGCCAGCGGTGTGCATGCACGGTGACAAATCGCAGCAAGAAAGAGACTTTGTGCTAAGAGAGTTCAGAAACGGAAAATCAAGCATTTTAGTGGCCACAGATGTTGCTGCTAGAGGATTAGGTAAGTTAAATTGTCTTTGACAGTTAATAGGAAAGCAGAGAGGCGGAAAATAAAAGGAAACCATGTTTATTCAAAGTTATTTTCAAGTAAATGGCATAGTAGCATTTTGGGATTTTCCAGACTGGTTCTTTCTAGAAGTCAAAATCTTTTTAGGTTAATATCTATGGATGTACCAATTTAGTAATCTACAGTTTTAGGATATTATTTTTTAAATATCTTCCATTAATGTCTTTGTTTTAAAGTAACTAGGAAATGTCTTTAAGTAACAAATTTCTTCATGTCCTGATGAAACAAAAACAATAATGTTCAAGAGTAGAAATAAGAATTCCATTTAGGATTGTAAGTGATAAATATTAATCAGTCTGGGTGTCCTTTTTGTTTCAGAGGCACATGCAGGATGAGCGTACTTAGCTAAGACTAATTGATACGCCTTAGTTGTGTTCTTTTGAAAGGATGCAATTCTGTGTCTTGCGGTGCCTCTGGCTGGCTTCCCCGCATACTCGCAATAACGCGGTAGGCCAGATGAGGTGGTTGAAGACCGATGGAAGATTTGATGTTAGTCACTGCATCAAATATGGCACATGTTTGATCCCCCTCCTTATATCATCCTTATGTCCTCTTATCGCTGGTGGCGCCCCTACTCTTAAAAACGCAACATCTTTAATTGGGCTGCCATCAATTCACCCCCCCCCACCCCATACTCTTTCACACCAGTCCATGTGTCTCGGCTACTAGCTATACCGTGTTTCATCGAGGGATGATAATAAAAATTAACGTAGTCAATACAGTACTATGCCGAGCACCAAACAAATGTCATTCAAATTTGAAAATTTGTCTTCCTGTCGGTCCTGCAGTGTTTGATTAGTCAGCATATAACCTATAATATTGACGCGTGTGCGCACGCGCGCGCTAGCTATCTGTCAATCACTTAATTAAAATGGGACCACTGCAGCAGCCATCTTGATGCTACTATAGCTCAGTTAAAATGTTAACACTGTTAAAACTACTCTACAGAACAGAACTCATGGTTAGTATTCTTTTTATTTTATTTCATTTCACACACAGTGCATTTCAAAAAATCATTGATGGAAATTAATTAGTTTTTAGGATTTAGTACATACTATTTTGTGATTTTTTGAAAGGGCTGTTCATTTTGCCACTAATTAGCAGTATTATTTTGTATTCCAGGAGATGAAATCTAAGTTATTTTTACATAAAATTTAGAAGTTAAAATAACATTTTTATCATATTTGTTTCACTTTTAAGCAAATTTTACATTAAAATAATGATATATATTAGGTATTTGCAGGGTGTCAATTTGAAAACGTACAACCCTTAATAATATCTCAGGTAAAATGCAAAATTCAAAAATATGCTGAAACAGGTTAATTTTATTAGCAAGGGCATTTTTTTCAATCGTTGGCGAATAATTTAGATTAACCCTCTAGGAGTGGTAAATACAACCCCTATTTTTTTAAATGAAAAGGAGTATCTTGCTTTACAAAATCGTAAAGGTAGGACTTTATAGTCCAATAATATGGGGTAAATATTTTTTTCCATAAAACAATGACTCCTGAAGCAAAATTATAATTTCATTAGCTAAAATTAAAACAATAACAGTCTGTTGTGAATTTCCTTCCCAACATTTTGAAAAGTATTTTCTGGTATATTTCTACATTCTGCTGTTATTCTATTCTTTAAAAGTTTGTTAAATCAGGAGACCTTGGTGGCCTTTCAATTGCTTATCTGCGTCCAATCCATTGGCCTTTCAGGTTTTAAACTTTCCATTTAACCACTGCCTAACTGCAAGGGAGTAATGAGGTGGAGCTCCATCTTGTTTAAAGTACAAAAGATCTTGTAAAAAAGTGTTTCCAGCCTCATCCAATACCACTCTGCTAGGGGGTAGAATTAAATTATTCTCCAACCTTTATCAGCAAATGTTTGCATTTTAGCTGAGATACTGTGGTACATTTTCAAATTGACACTCTACATATTAAGTAATAGGGGGATTGTTTATGTTAAAACTAATAATTGCTCATGCTTTTACTAATTATTCCATTTTGATTTAAATGTTATTTCTGTTCATACATTTATTAACAATAACATTTTTATAACAAAAGCAGATGAAATTAATATTTTTGTAACTTCTATCATAAGTAACCCAACACTTAAACAAAGCTATAAAGTTACTTATTTAACAAATAACTTACATTTTAAAATTGAAATTAAATTTAATATTTTAAGATTATTTAATTACAATCTTTAATTACAAAATAATTTGTGATCTATTGCATGAATACCCTTTCATGTTTCAGTATTAAGTATCATAAAAACACTTAAAAAGCTTTTCAAAATAAAATAATTTAAAGCTAAAACTAATTTTTTTTACGTTTATTCAGACGTGGACGGTATAAAGTATGTCATAAACTATGACTACCCCAACTCCTCAGAAGATTACATTCACAGAATTGGCAGAACTGGCCGTTCTGATACAACTGGAACATCATATGCATTTTTCACTCCATCCAACTTTAGACAGGCCAAAGATCTTGTGTCCGTTTTAAAAGAAGCAAACCAGGTAATAATTTTAAACTACTGTGCATAACAAAGCACTTTCCTATGTTTGATTAATTGAAAAGCAAACATTAACAAAAACTCGATTTAGGTTGTAAACCCAAAACTGTCCGAGATGGCCTCAAGAGCCGGAGGTTTTGGCGGCAAAGGAGGCAACAGCAGATGGGGCGGCGGCGGTGGAGGCGGTTTCCGCGGCGGTTTCAACAAAGGCAGAGAAAATAATGGTGGAGGTTTTAGAGGAAGAGATAACAACCGCGATGGCGGATTTAAAGGCAGAGATGGTGGCCCTCCAAGGCAATCAAGATTTGGAGCACCCGCCGGTGGCGGCCAAAATGGCGGCGGCGGTGGATACAATAGAGGATGTAAGTCAACTTTTTGGTTAAAAAAAATCAAAAATTTATGTTTTGTTCTGTTTTAGCATACTAAACATAAAGGACTAATTGGAAATGGCTTCAGTATTTTCTTCAGATGCATTCCTTGCGTCCTTTGTTTTTGGATTAATTAATAATAATTTTAAATTATTTTCTTGATGCATAAATATATTATTTATGACAACGTATGAATGTTGGTTTTTGACCATGTAGTAAATTGACTTATTTATGCAATTTAATGTTAAGCAATACTTATTTTGTTTCATATCTGTGATTAAAATTAGAAATGTATGTTTGTATGATCATCTTTCACCCCAATCATAACCAATCATCTCTCATTTAATAAGAAAAATAAATGGATTTATAAAATATTTCATGTTTTATTTTGGGCTCCTATAAAAACTGCTTGTTATAATTTTAAAAATATTTATTTAAAATAGAAATGTTGAAATATTTAATATTCAACAAAGAAGTTTTCACATAATATTTAAAAAATATAACTTATGAAATAATAATAAAACAACACACAACTTGTGTTAAAAATAATTTACACCTTACTACATTGCAATTATTTTAAGTTGAAATTGAACAAAATGAAATAATGGAACTATTGCTAAAAACAATGTAATTTATATAACAAAAAATTACGTAGTTATGACGAAAAATACTGAAATCAACAAAATATTAAATAAATGCAACGAAGTCAGTAATAAAACCTATGGGTTAATCCATATCAAATCATCCAATGATGGTTGCTGTCCGCAACCTTTTCAAATTAAATTGGTTAATTTGATATGGATTGACCCCTATCACAATCGGAGCTAAAATATTACACAGTAATAAAAACTTAAATAAAAAACGAGATCAAAAATAAATCTATCCTGACTAGGATTGGACTAGAGGTGGAATGTAATTAAATAACTTTACCTAAAACGGTGGGCTCGTCTTTAAGGAACGTACCCGAGCGTTGCATAGAGGGAGCCGGAACGGATGCTGCAGCTGCGGAAGCAGCCGGCTTAGGTTCGGGCATCTTCGTATTTATCCTCGGAGATGGCGTACCCATCTTCTTCATGGGCGAAGGCGACCTCACGTTGGAAACGACGGGAGAAGTCACTCTACTGTCAAACTTCCTGGGGGAGCTGGTGCGACTGTCGTTTTTCAACGGCGAGCTGCACCGACTGTCGACTTTTCTGGTGGTCAGCAAAGGCGACTCTTTACGATTAGTGCTGGAATTTCTCGATATCGTCACTTGTTTCCTTGCTGGTGTCGGTTTGGTGGGAGCGGGTTTACTGTTGAAAGTCTTGGTGGGAGGGTTTTTGGGGGCGGGTTTTACGTTTTTGGAGGGAGCCGACTTTGCGGCGCTTGCCGCCGTCGGTTGGGTCAAAGTACTCCTGCGGTGGGTGGATGGACTGGGGGGCACTTGAGGCGCACTGGCCGCCAAAAGAAGGCTTCTTCTCAACGAGGGGCTGCCTGCCGAGGTCTGCATCCTTTGATTCATGCCTGGACTTGAATTGCGAGAGGAGTCCGATGAGCTTAAGATTGGGCTTGGTTGTTTGGTGTTTGTTACGGTTTTTTTCTTGTTTAATATGGTGGAGCGCGGTAAACGACTTGCCGGTTCCAAGCCAGGTGTCAATTCCTTTATACGAGTTCTGCAACAACAAAAAGTACATGTGCGCTTAGAACACTGTGGTGTGACACATCTGAAGTGAAATTTATTTTCTATAAATATATTTAAGAAACAACGCATTCGTAAGCAAAATAAGTTTTATACAAAATGCAGCTCTTAAAATTGACAGTATTTTTAAACTCGTTAGGCCTCTGTGCGATAAATGTTTCGTAAGTTATTAAACGATTTGCTGGTCAGTTCCTTTATACAAGTTCTGCAACAAAAAATACATGTGCGCTTAGACCATCTATACAGTGTGTCCGTAAAGTCCCAGAACATGTGATTATTTTGAAAACGGTATTTTTTTTTTAAATCGCTGAAACACGTCAACTTTGTTATTTTTCTAGCAATATTTTAGCCTATGTAGTTGTTCCAAAATCTGCCGCGTGGCTGCGCCCCAATCGAAGTAAGGTTTTTTAAATTACAACCCTTTATTTTTGTTGCATTTTTGGATAGCTACCGTTGTCCTGAGTACATTGATATGCTACATGTGAAGGGTTACATAAGAAAATTTTTGAGAAAATGAGGGTTTTTGCCGCTGATTGAGATTTTGGTTTTGACGAACTTATTCGCTGTTACGGGGCACCACCATACTATTCATTGCTAGTAAGGGATTATTTAAAACAGGTCTTTACCAATGGCTGGATAGGTCGAAGTGGTCAAATTGAGTGGCCAGCGCGATCGCCCGATTTGAACCCTTTAGACTTCTTTTTATAGAAACATCTTAAAAACCGCGTCTATGTAAACAGGCCTTAAAATTTGGACGACCTAAGACACCGCATTCAAGCCGAGATCCAGATGATCACTCCAGCGGTACTGGCAAACGTACAACCCTCGTTTGTAGACAGGCTGACCCACTGCCAAATGGTTTACGGTGGACACTTTGAGAAACTGCTCTGATTGGCTTTCCAAAAAACATTAAGCAACGCATAGATTGTGTTTAAGTTTGACAAAATACCAAAATCTCATTCGGCGGCAAAAACATGCTTTTCTCAAAAATTTTCTTATGTAACCCTCCAGATGTGCACATCAATGTAATCAGGACAATGGTAGCTATCCAAAAATGCACAAAAATAAAGGGTTGCAATTTAAAAAAAACTGACTTTGATTGTGGCGCCGCCACGCGGCAGAATTTGGAACAACTACATATGCCAAAATATTGCTAGAAAAATAACAAAGTTGACGTGTTTTAGCGTTTTTAAAAAAAATTTACTGTTTTTAAAATAATCTCATGTTCCGGGACTTTACGGACACACTGTATATAACTATATTGAAATTTATTTTTAACAATATTCGTGTTTTGTTTTAATTTAATCATTATGGATGTTTAGGTTTTCTTGCCTTTTAGTTTTATGAATTTTGAAAATTTTGGGAATTATGAAATTTTTTTCCAACATGATAGGCCAGTAAAAGTGTAAGATTTTATATAGGTAACCCAATACTTTTATACCGGCTGAAATTAATTTTGTTTCGAATTTATCGGAACGACCCCCGCGACGCTATGCCCGGCCAATTTACAAAAAAAACTATCGTTTTTTTTTAATAACTTACTAACTTGTAATTTTAAGAGATACATTTTTTCATTAAACTTATTTTGCTCTCCAATGCGTTGTTTCTTTAATAAATTAAAAAAATCCTCAGCAATTTTTTTGAAAATTTGGTTTTTTTACCTCTACGCTATTTTTTAACGTTTTTTTTTAAATATGGTAGAATTTGTAATTTTCTATAAAATGACCATTTATTTAAGTAAATTGGTCAAGTGTAGGCTGGGTGATTCAAAAAAATCGAATAATTTATTTTTACTTCCGACGCTGAAAAATTGGTTCTTAGGCTCCTCTAGAAAGTGCTCACCAAATTTGAGCTCTTAATATTAATAGGAAGATCCTCCTCATTACAGTTTTTAATTTTTTCTGATGTGTTTAAGCGATTACTCTAACCATTTAAAAATATTTAAGATCAAAACTTAAAAATTTATAAAAAAAAATATTTTCAAATAAGTTTGCTATATTTTTCTAGAGCATTCAATTTCCTACAAAAATATGTATAAAGATTTGATTACACAATTGATTAATAATGAAATATGGTCTTTTTATAAGGTACTAAAGGAAAAATGGAAAACTGTGATGAGGAGTATCTTTCTATTAATATTAAGAGCTCAAATTTGGTGAGCACATTCTAGAGGTGCGTATGAACCAATTTTTTAGTGTTGGAGGTTAAAAGAACTTCAACATTTCGACGTTTCTTTGAAAATTACATTTTTGGCCTGTTCGGCCTTATAAGTTGTTGCTAAAAATTACAGTTATTTAAAAATATGTTTATTAAAAGCGCAATTTAATGGGTATTAAAAAAAACACGCGTATGTACGCAACTTCAATTTATAAATTTCCTATAAATAGGAAATTTTTAGAGCCACAAAATTTCAAGAGAGAATTTTCTATAAAAAAACATTGCAAAAGGGGTAAAAAGGGAGAAACCCAATTTCCAAAAAAGTTGTTGCGTTTTCTTGCATATGAGTAAAATAAGTTTTATAAAAAATGTAGCTCTTAAAATTGACAGTATTTTAAAAGTCCGTAAGTAGGCCTATGTGCGATAAATGTTTCGTAAGTTATTAAAACAAAAAGTTTTTTTTAGGATGGCGGGCAATGGATTTTGGTTTAATCCAAAAAATAAAATATTTACACTATTTAACTTATGGTTTTTCCTTGGAAAAAATTAAATTTCAACCTGTATAAAAGACAACATACGCTTTTACTGGCCTATTATACTGGTGTGCGAATTTTTTCCACAATTTTTGAATATTGAACTACCTACTATGCGAATTTTACCCACTATTTTTTAAATGTATGTTGCTATGAACATTTTGTTAAACTATTCTAATGCGAAGCACCGTTTCCGTTTAATCACTTATAACGACAGGTTCTGGTTTGCCCCGTCTGCAAAAAAGTTGTACTTGAAAAATATGAATTATGAATTTCTTAAAAATGTTTCCACCAACTCCTATTAAACATAGGTATAAAGAGAAAACGGAATCTTTTTTCGTATTTACTATAGTTGGTACTAATAGCGGTACCTATAAAAAATAATTAATTAATTAATTTTAAATATTTACCTTAAGACAGTATCCAATCTTAACCAAGCATTACTTCGTATAAGTCTGTCAGACTGCCTGACCAAACATTGCTCCAGCTGGTGTTTGATTTTATGCAGCAAATCAGCGAAAGGTCTGCTCCAAATTTGGTCCAGCATCTTCCAACACCTGGAGTAGCTTCTGCAAGCTTGCTCGACGCCCAAATTTTTGGCAGCCGACAACATCTGATCTTCGACTTGACAAACGCTAAAACCCAACCCGGTATCCATGGCCAAGAACGAAGGGGATCCCAAAACGGCCGAAAAATGCTGCCGATGATACAAATGGCACGCGTCCGTCAGCTGCGATACCAGTTGAGAAATCGGCTCGGACCAGCGCATGGTTGGCAGAGTGGCCAAAATTTTATCGCACGCCATTATCGTCTCCAGCACTCTGTCGGGCGCCATGTGGACGACGTGCTGCTGATAACACTTTTCGCGCAACTCCCTGGGCAAGCTGGCGAAAGCTCTGCTCGGCCAGACCCTCACGAAATGCTGCGTGATCCATTGCAAACATTTCTGGTACAAATCGTCCAAACCGTACGCGGCAGAGAGCGGTAGAACTTCCAGGACGCCGGTGCAACAACCGGCGCAAGGTTTGTGGAAAGAATGACAGTGTCGTTGTTTGAGGGCATGCTCGACTACTTCCTTTAAACCTTCCAAGCCTAACATGTCTGCTAACGATGCTAACTCTAACAAACTTATGGAATCCGGAACGTGAGCGGCGCCACTGTAGATGTGGCAAAGGGAGAAGTAGACCGATTCATAGGAAAAGCCCTAAAACAAATTTATATGACAATCACATAATAGGTGCGTTCTTTTCGCCTAAGATCTCAGCTCACTTCAGTTAATGTGATATGAGATGTACTGATGTGAGTAAGCATTAAAAAGAAGGACACACTCAATTGAAACGCGCAATCTGACGGCGTATACGTGAATAAGATGCAACATAACCTATCTCTGATATCATTATGTTCTTTGTCATATCCCAAGCAGCATTTTTGGTTCCAAAAACCATTACCAAAGTGGTGATAACTGTAAATTAGTTAAGTATACTACTAAACAGCTACTTTAATTTTTACTTAAAACTAATTCTAACTTTTAAATAACAGAAACTTCATTCTTTCCTTAAATGGTTACTATAAAGTAATGAACATTTAGGTAAATCTTGGTTGCCCACTTAAATACTGTTGAAGCGCATTTATTTTACAAAAACTAAATTCATAAGTTCAACAGTAAAATTTAAAGGGTTTATACATTTACCTGCCTAATTGTTATTCTGGAAGTTATAAACTACCAGTACATATTTAATAAACGTTCTAGTAACGTAGCAGCTAAGTTCCAAATGTAGCAGGGTTTATAGCTAGTGACATATTTGCTACCTTTTTGGAACAATAATTGTTCCCCACTTTAGTCGTAACCTTTATAATATGTGGTAACTTAGTAATGAAAGAGTAATATAAAGAGACCGGTGACTGTCGCAAAACACTTAAATTTTTGCTTGGGATCTTTATTGGTTTAAATTTCGTGGTTTTCTATGTTTAAATTTGCATTGAATTATGGATAATACAAAAATAATAATAAAGGTTTTATTTGATGAAGACAATGAAGGTGATAAAATGACATAAAATAAAAATTTAAAAAAAAAACTTCACTTTGACATGTTTTGTTTAATTTTATTGTAAAAAGTGTTTTTCTAGCTCTGGAAAACAATTTTATACGAATTTTATTTATTATATTAAGTTTATAGTCAATTTACAAAATTTAATTATTATTATGGAAATTTAAGTTTTATTTGTAAAAAATAATAATTGTATGACATAAAATAAGAATTAAGAAAATCTTCACTTTTACTTTCTTTATTCAATTATATTGTAAAAAGTGTTTTTCTTGTTCCGAAAAGCAATTTTATTCGAATTATATTTATTATATCAAGTTTATAGCTAATTTACAAAATTTAATTATTTTTATGGAAATTTAAGTTTTATTGCAAAAAATCACCTAAATAAGATTAGGTTATGTTATTTAAAAACTTAACAAATCAATCATTTCTTTATCCCCTTCACTTTATTTCCGACTTAATTCAAACTGATTCCCCCGCACAGCATGTGCAATATCGGTGAGGGGGGAGGAAACATCTCAGCTCACTTTATGGTGAAGGCGAAAAGAACGCACCTAATATGTGATAATATTATATCATAATATCATTGATTAAGGTTCTCCTTCACTCAACGATAACACAGTACGACAAAATTTGATCCCATGAAAAATTTCTATAGATTTTGAAAATTGACTTAAAAAAATGATACCCGTGTCTCGGCGTTTTTTCAGATCACGTCATTGCGATCCAATAAAATGTTATCCACGGTATTCAGGACATAATATAACAGATTCGATAACAGCTAGACAGAATATTTTTATGAAAAATTTATTTAGTGAATAAACGGACAACCATTAAGATTATTTATTTATTTTAAAATTATTTTAATTATATACAGGGTTTTGCACATTTACGAAATACGGGTGTTTCACGTTCGTGGTCCATTGAGAGTTTCTGAAGAACGGCAAAAGATATCGATTTGAAATTTTTAAAGCGTTTATAATCCAATTAAGACTATTTTTCTAAATTATTTTAAACAAAATGTCACTTCCGGCTTGACCGGAAGTGACATCAACTTTGTTATTTTTAATGGAACACCCAATATATTTTTAAATTCAACATAAAATTACTGTACCAAGTTAGCCCAATTTGCCCTGGGGTTTCTTGGGTAATTTATTGAAAAATGTTACAGAATTGACATGGAATTTTTTAAACAGTGTTTTAAGATTCCAAACATTTTACCCCCATATCCGTAAACCTAACAGCAAACTAATTATTCACTTTAGGTATATAACATGGTATAGTAATTTTACTCAGAATTTTATGTAGAATTTAAAAATGTAAAAATATATGGGGTGTTCTATTTTAATAACAAAGTTGATGTCACTTCCGGTCAAACCGGAAGTTGCATTTTGTTCAAAATATTTAAAAAAAAAATAGACTTATAGATAGATTATAAACGCTTTTAAATTTCAAATTTTTATTTTTTCCGTTCCCCAGAAACTTCCAATGGACCACGAATGTGAAACACCCTGTATATCAAGTGGTGTTTTTAGGTTGTGATACCACTATAGATTCGAAAGCAATGTATAATCGTCAAACTAAAAGATCAAGATTTGTTTCCAACGTATATTTAATATAAGATAAATACAAATCTGTTGTTTTAAAATCAAAAAAATAAAAAATTGAAAAAAAAAGTTTTACTTAAAAAAATTGTTATTTTCTTTAAGTATAATTTTTGTATTATGTAAAAACACAAAATATTTTAAGAAAAAAAATCATTTATAACAAAATAGACAATTAAAAATCTGTTTAGGTTAAAATAATAAGAATGACTGTGTAAAAAAATTAAATGACGTGATTTCGTGAAACGGTGAGACAGGGGTACGTTTTTTAAAATCTCTTAAAATTTTCATGGGAGGAAAATCGTGTTTTACTGTGTATATACATATATGTACATATATGTATATACATTTAATATATGATATATGTTACCGGCAAAGTAAAAAATGCGGCAATTTGCGAAATGTCTAGATACTCTGAAAACAGACCGATTTACCAGAAATTGTGCAAAATCACTTCCATTTTGGGCAATCTGCAAAATTTACTACGCTATTTTAGTAATCTGCAAAAGGTCTGATGCGATAGTCAATCTGGGGATTAAAGGATTTTACTTCTCAAATTGACTAGGCAGTGTGCAAAACACTAATTTACGACACCAATGTAAAATTAAAAAACTGAACTTTCTTTTTAGAAAAAAAAACTACAAACAAAAATTAAATCAACAAACACTTATATAATGGTTGGGTTGGGTTTTTACTGCATTATGTATTCAATTTCTTTAAAAATATTCTTTTTTTCCCGCTCGCCATTATAAATCTCTAACTGAATAGCGAAGTTCGACAGAAGTAAAAGTATTGCGCACACTGCCTAGTCATTGTGAGAAGTAAAAACCGTTAATTCCCAGATTGACTTTCTCATCAGACATTTTGCAGATTTGCCCCAAATGGGAGTGATTTCGCACATTGCCGGTAACATAAAATATACAGGTTGTTTCACATTCGTGGTCCATTACAAGTTTCTGGGAAATGAAAAAAGATATCGATTTAAAATATTAAATTATATTCCATTTAAGTCAATTTTTCTAAAATATTTTAAACAAAATGCCACTTCCGGTTGTTTCAAATAGAACACCCCATATATTTTTATTTTTTTAAATTCTGCATTAAATTTTGAGTAAAATTACTTTACCATGTCCGAAACCTAAAGTGAATAGTTTTAGAGTAATAGTATTTTTTGTTCGATAAAATTTGACAAATGCGCGTCAATCATAAATAGCTTAGGTATAACTTGTTTGTTATTAGGTTTGCGGATATGGCGGTGGAATTGTTGGAATCTTAAAACATTGTTTAAAATATTCCATGTCAATTCTTTAACCTTTTTCAAAAAATTACCTGAGAAACCCCAGGGCAAATTAGGCTTACTTAGAAAGTTATTAACTTTTTATTTTAAATGTACCACCTGGTATGTTATTACATAATCAAATAGTAAATTATAGCACTAATGTGTTAACCACCTTTTTGCATATTACGACAGTTGGACATTGTACTATTTAAAACTAGACTTCTCAAATATTATTAATATCTAATTTTATTATTATTTTTTAAATCTATGTTATAATTAATCAAAGTCCACTGACCTGAAAAATTAAGAGGTAAATAAATCAAATTGGTTAAATATGAAATATTATTGAATTGAAATTTTTCTTTTTCCATATTTTTTACGATGTGGCTCACGTCCCGAGTCGGGACTTAACTTCGATCCCGACAGACGTCACACACTGTAAATCCGTTTTTATTCCCCGAGCTTTTATAATAGGAACGCCTAAATGCAGGAATGGGCTCCATCTTAATATAATTTATGCGTAAAATAAAACAAACCAAATCAAACCAAACCCAGGCACCCCACCCCTCGTAACCACCCGATTGAAGCCTAACCACCCTATTGAAGACGATTATTCCATCGTGCATTGCCCTTTATCTCGAACTTTGTTACCGATGGAATAATCGTCTTCAATAGGGTGGTTAGGCTTCAATAGGGCGGTTACGGGGGGTTGGGTTGGTTGGGTTTGGTTTGATTTGGTTTTATTTTACGCAAAATTTATATTCAGATGGAGCCCATTCCTGCATTTAGGCGTTCCTTTTATAATTGGTGTCAAGCTGGATGGTTTAGATGGTAGGGCGGTCGCTTGGCATGCGAGAGGTACCGGGTTCGATTCTACTACCCTAGTAGCAATGGAATTGGACAAGATTCTTTGTCAAGATACTTGGAAAAGCACTTTGTAAAGAATTGGACAATTCTTGACCTAGACTCTTGATCAAAATTCTTTATCCAGACTGGTGCCAGACTTGCGACAAGTCTGTGACCAGAATTCGACCAGATTCTTGGCCAAGAATTTTGACGTATACGTCAAAATTCTTGTCCCGAAATTGGGGGACCAAACTTAAAAAGTGCATTCTTTATAGAAAAATAACACTTGTTTGTTTAATAAACATGTATAAAAAAATGCCCCCTAACGGAGCTACGGCCCCCTGAATAAGAGCATAAGAGGGTCATTTTTTAAAAACTATTCCTAGAGGTTTGAACAGGAAGATATAAATTTTTGGTACTTTGGTAA